CTTGTTTTAACTGGGTTTCATATCGTAAAACTCTTAGTAATGAAACTAAAAGTAAAATTGAAGTATTACAGAAATCCGGGCTTCGAGTATGCCATTATCAGGAAAATAAAGGTAATTTAGCTATACATGACTGGGATGTTATTATTATTCAGGTTGAAAGTACATATCATCATAATTTTCATGAGGGTCATTCTCATATAGTTATTTTAGATGAAACGAATGGTATTATGCATCAAATGGCAAGTGGAATCCATGCACAAGAATCTAAAAATGCCATGCAGGATTTGTTAAAGTCAGCTGTTCACGTGGTTGCCATGGATGCTTTTGCAAATGAGTTGACTTTAGCCTTCTTAAGACAATACCGGGGTAAAAACATCTGAGTTTTTGATAATAAGTACCAGCCACGTAAAAGTGAAACTGTAAAAATCCTTTATGATTTAAATAAAAGTTCAGAAGCTATACGTAAAGGTCTTAAAATGCTTAAAGAAGGTAAGCATGTTGTCTTTTCAATGACCTTCACAAAAAGGCTCGGGCAATAGCTAATCAAGCATCTAAGTTACAAAAACCAGACGGTTTATGTGTTTTATCACGAGTTTATTTTAGTCAAATGGATAGAAAACAATGCCAGGATGACTTTGCTAATATAAATGCTACCTGGAGTGGCCTTGATTGTGTAATCTATACAAGTACTGTGGAGTCAGATATCTCATTCGAAATTCCTAACTATTTTGATGCAGTTATAGCAATTAGTAATATTAAAACAGGAGTACACGCCAAAGCATTTACTCAGATGCTTTATCGAACTTGTAATTGCCCATATCGTATTGTTTCTCTTTACAATAGTAAAACACATTCTGAGATTTTTAAAGAACCAAATCGTGACCTTATTCGTGCAGAACTTTTAGCCTTAAGACCTGGAGATTTACCAACTGCAATAAAGGGGCACCGTGAATAGAACAAAATCGCTAACTGTTATATACTTAATTCATCTTCAGCAGTAGATACCTATATTGAGGTTGAGTATCAGAGACACTTATCTGCCAAATATTTTCCAGAAATTCTTTGTAGTTTGATTGCTAGTACTGATGCATCATTAGAATTAATCGCAGTAGAAGATACCAAATTAGCCAAAGCTTCTCGTACAGAAGTATTTCATACTATTAAGAATACTGAAAAATTAATTAAAGATGAAGATGCAGAATTAATAGTTAATGCTCCAGATATCAATCCTAATGAAGCTGAAATGCTTAAGCTAAATCCTGAACATTCTTTTACTGATAATATAATCTTACAACATTATTATTTATAGAGAACATATGCTTTAGACGATATTGGAGATAAGGATGATATTCGAAACTGGAGTATGAATAATGATGACTGGATTAAACTTTGTGACATAGATTTTGTAAAAAAATTCAATAATCCTGAACCTTTATAGCATTTTAAAGGGCTGGCATATTTCAGAAGACAAGGTTCTAACGCAATAAATTCTATAGAAAATCTAAAAATCAAAGAAAAAATGCAATGGAAAAATTCACATAAATCTATAGACCCTTCCTCAGTTGATTTTATTCAGCAAAACAGTGGGAAGCAGTACATAATCTTGTCCAATCGATAGGTTTTAGTGATATTGATGATACAAAGATTCTTTCTGCCGATGATGTGGCAAAGGCTTTTGAGCAATCATGTGAAGAAGTTGTCAAAATTCGAGAAGATGCATGATTACTCTTTGGCTTTAAGACCAGAGCTAAAGGAATACCTGATCTCAATGCTACAATAAAGTTTATTAATGCAATAGCTAGAAATTGGTGTGAATATACTGTCAAAGGTGATGAAACTCATGTAGGTTTCAAGGGACATCAAGTACGGAAGCACACTTATTGGATTGATCATAAAGCATATGATGGATGTGGTTTTAAAACTCTAGAAGAAATAAGGGCTATAAAGGTTAATAATTCCAAATATCTCCCTATAGCTCCAATTATTTCATCATACAAACCAGAACTGATTGATGAAACTCAAGAACTTTTTGATTCAATACCAACTACTGATATTATCACTTCAGAGGAAGCAAAGCTTCGATGTTCTACATCATTCATTAATGAGGTTTGTAAAGAAAGTTCTTGCCATAATGTAATTAAGAAATCTATGACAAATTTATTTCAATCGCCTTCTACAATATCAACCCAAGATCAATTAAATAATTTCAAGCAATTCTCAAGTATTACTAAAAGGTCTGAAGTTGTAAATCTTAATGTTACTTGTATCTCTTTAGCTTTAAGCATAATATGACATGCTAGATTATCTTTTCATAAGCTTTTGCATGTTTTAGGTGAATTATAGTACCAATTGGTTTCTGATGCACCTATTAATAAGAGTCAATATTTAATTCGTATTTAGGTAAGAGCTTCTTCTGGACCTATAGTATTAACTCATGCATGCAAACTTGTAATTTGCTTTATTAATAGTTGGTGTTAGAGTAAGTTGCAATTTTCAAGATTTCTATGAAGCATAATGCTGTTGCTTACTGTACTTGCAATTTCGAGTTTATGTTTTGCTAGTCTTAAAATTGGCTTTTGTATTGCTTCTATTAATATTTCCAAAAATCTTGTTATTTTGTTTATATTTTCTTCTTGTATCTATTCATCACCTAAATGTATCTTTTTATTTTCTATGTTTTCTTTTGTATTCATGATTACTAGTTTTGATTTTTTTTCCATTTATTTGAATGTCATTGATTTTAAAGAACTCTTCTGCTATTTGAATTGTCTGCTCTATCTGTTCTTTGTTTTTTTGCAATTCACATTTGTGTCATTAGCAAAAGCTACTACTGCTTGTCTCTATTTCATTTTCTTGCAATAGTTAAGATTATAATTATACAGGATGTTTACTTCAGCTGTATATTCAAGGTTTGAGTTCTCTTGAATACTTTTGAGTAATGGGTCATAAAATATTCTCCATACTAATGATGATATTACTTCATTTTGTTCAATACTATCTTCTACTTTCCATGTTTCTGTAGTTCCCCAATGTGTAATAATTTTAGATTGTCTGTTTTCAAATAGGTTCAATATAAAATTTATAATTCTTTTAGGCATTTTAAGTCTTCTCATTGCCAGATCTAGTGCTTGTAGAGATACTAAGTCAAATGCCTTTTTCATGTTCTGAAAAACCAGCCATAGTTCCTTGTTATTGTCTTTGGCATCTTCTATTAGTGCATAGTGTTCGTCAAAATCGAGTAAAAACTCGATTATCGAGTTTAAGCATCTATCTGTAATACAAATCAGAGCTTAAATATTTTATTTATTTTTAGTAAACTAATGAATCAAATATAACACTTATATTTTATGATCTTGTTTTTATCAGTAATTAATTTAGTAGACGAACGCAGATTACTTTATTTTGAAGTATATAAAAAAAGTATTGTTTGCTTTTCCATAACTCGTAAATTAGCTACGACTAAGCTATTCAGGTTTGCAGGCATCTTCAGATTAGTAGACAGGTTATAAATCATGATATGTAAGTTGTTTAATTTATTATTTTTTTTTGATTCCTACTACTTATAGTGGTATGTCTTTTTTTCTTATTAAATTTTGGTTCTTACTAGTCTTCCTTCTGTCGATTATGGTAAATCTTTTAGCTTTTCTCATGATCTTTCTGCTTCTCTCATTTTTCTAATGATTATAATGGCATGTATATATGTTTTTTTTCTTTTTTTCTTATTGAATTTTGGTTCTTACTGGTCTTACTTCTGTCAATTATGGGGATCTTTCAGCTTTTCTCATGGTCTTTCTGCTTCTCTCATTCTTCTGGCAATTATGATAGTATGTATATATATATATTTTTTTTTCTTATTGAATTTTGGTTCTTACCAGTCTTCTTTTTGTTGATTATAGTGAATCTTCAGCTTCTCTTGTGGTCTTTCTGCTTCTCTCATTCTTCTGACAATTATGGTGGTATGTATGTTTTTTTTTTCTTTTTTTCTTATTGAATTTGGTTCTTACTAGTCTTTTTTCTGTCATTTATAGTAGATCTTTCAGCTTTTCTTATGGTCTTTTGCTTCTCTCCTTCTGGTGATTATGGTGGCATGTATGTATATATTTTTTTTCTTTTTTTATTTTTGAATTTTGGTTCTTACTGATCTTTCTTCTGTTGATTATAGTAGATCTTTCGGCTTTTTTCATGGTTTTTCTGCTTCTCTCATTCTTCTGGTGATTATAGTGGTATATATGTATTTTTTTTTTTTTTCTTATTAAATTTTGGTTCTTACCAGTCTTCCTTCTGTTGATTATAGTGAATCTTTCGGCTTCTCTTGTGGTCTTTCTGCTTCTCTCCTTCTGGCGATTATGGTGGAATGTATAGTTTTTTTTTTTCTTTTTTTATTTTTGAATTTTGGTTCTTACTAGTCTTTCTTCTGTCAATTATAGTGAATCTTTTGGCTTTTCTCGTGGTCTTCCTGCTTCTCTTATTCTTCCAGCGATTATGGTGGTATGTATATATATATATTTTTTTTTCTTATTAAATTTGGTTCTTACCAGTCTTTCTTCTGTCGATTATGGTAAATCTTCAGCTTTTCTCATGGTCTTCCTGCTTCTCTCATTCTTCCAGTGATTATGGTGATATATATGGTTTTTTTTTCTTTTTTTCTTATTGAATTTTGGTTCTTATCAGTTTCCTTCTGTCAATTATAGTAAATCTTTTGGCTTTTCTTGTGGGCTTCTTGCTTCTCTCATTCTTCTAGTAATTATGGTGGTATGTATATATATATATTTTTTTCTTATTGAATTTTGTTCTTACCAGTCTTCCTTCTGTCAATTATGATGAATCTTCGGCTTTTCTCATGGTCTTTCTGCTTCTCTCATTCTTCCGGTGATTATAGTGGTATGCATTTATTTATTTTTTTTTTTTCTTATTGAATTTTGGTTCTTATCAGTCTTCTTTTGTCGATTATGGTGAATCTTTTGGTTTCTCTTGTGGTTTTTCTGCTTCTCTCCTTCCGGTGATTATAGAGGTATATATGTATGTTTTTTTTTTTTTTTTTTCTTATTGAATTTTGATTCTTACTAGTCTTCCTTCTGTCAATTATAGTGAATCTTTTAGCTTTTCTTGTGGTCTTCCTGCTTCTCTCATTCTTCCAGCGATTATGATAGTATGTGCTACTTTATACATTTTACACTCTAATACTCTTTTTTGCTTAATGAAACTTTCTTTTAACCAACTAGGTTAAGCATGATATTTATTAATATCATGATGTTTATTTGGCTCTAAACTAATAAGTCTATCCTATACCAAGGCTAGTTGTAAAACATGAATCACATTTTGTAAAGGCTACTATGCATTAATCAAAAATATCAAAAACTCATTTGTATTCATAAAGTTAACTTCTAGAAGTAGTTATAATTTTTACATTCAAGACATCAAGAAAATAAATGTAATAGTAATTAAAAAGTAATACATTTATATAATTTTAAATGTTAAGAGCTTATTGCTAAATCCAATTATTTATTAATTATAATATTTTTCAAAATTTGGGTTTTTCACTTTAGGCCCTTATATATAATTATTTTCATTTTCTGGACCCTTATATGTAAATTCTCCTAAAATAAACCTTAAACGATATTATACTATTATCATTAACCACTGTTACATTATCCCAAAATAATATCTTACCTAGTGATAGGTGATTATTTGAGAATTGATAACAAATATTAACTAATTGTTAGTGATAAGAAATTAATCTAAAATATGTAGTTCTAATTTTGATAAAATAATTATATAATTAAGAATGATAATTTTTATTAAATAAATTTTTATTTAATGAATTTTTTTAATATAATCAATTATCGAGAGCTATAAATTCTAAGTTATTATTACTTATTTACCAAAAATTTAAATAGTATTTATTAATAATAAATAATCATATATAATCAATTTGGCCCATTTTTAATCTTACCACATAAAACACCTTCATTATTGAAATTGCTGGATTCGTAATTAGTACCTGGTACTATTCAATTTTAAAACCGAAGTTCTGAAGAAATTTTTCACATAATCATTCCAAAAAAATAAATATCTAATGCTGTGTTAAATGATTTTCCATGCAAAACTTCTGGTGCTATGTATGATAAAACCCCATAAATTCTAGTTTTTGTGTTTAATGTTCTGTTAACCACTGTTGCAAACTCTAAATTGCCAATATAAGCATTATATATATTATCTTTAATAAGACCCTTGGTACTGTAAGCAGTGGCCAATGATGAAACATAGCATCAATACTCAGCACCAGCAGAACCCTAATGCTCAGATAATAAAATTTATACTCTGATCAATACGATTATGAAAGAACTTTGTGTAGTATCAATATAGGAACTGCATTAAATCAATATTAATTTTGTCAACAAAGGAAGACACTAAGTATTATATTTAAATAAGTTAGTTAAATAATTATATTTGTTACCAATTCATTAAATAAAATTATTTTTCCACTTACCAAATAAAAACCTATCATCAGGCTTTCAATTATATTTTGTATCAGAAACAATCTTTCTAAATTGTAATCAATACAAAATATAATTGAAGACTGATAACAGGTTTTTCTTGGCGGCACTCAAATGAAAATTGGATTTAAGTGAATTCATTTAAAATTTAATTACAATATTTATTTATTTGAAACCTATAAGTTTCATTTTAACATATAACAAATCTAAACTTACAATTTGCTATAAATGCCAAAACAAGATGAAACAAAAAATTTTTAATATTTTAATTTCTAGTCTGATTGATCTGACATGACACTGACAAATTATCTTGACTTTTATGAGTGCACTCAAAATACCAAGCCCTATATATATAAAAAGAACACAAGTTCCTATAAGTTAACTACTGTATTAACAGAAAAGAAATTCTAATTATTAAACCTACCAGGAAAATAGCTAATATTGCAATTATATACAAAGACAACTCTTTCTAAAATGAACTGAAGATTCTGAAAAAAAAAAGTTCATTGTAGAAAATTATTATCTTTTATTAAGAACCTATGAAACTTCTTATACTAAACTATTATGAAATTTCAAATTTTGAGCTCGTTTTATCTGGAGTTTATTATATCCAGACTCAACTTTAGATATAATTCATCACTACTAATATGTGCATATTTCAAAAACTCATAGAACATTAAAAAAAAAGAATTAATATACCCAATTATAATTCTAAGTTATTGATTAAGCTGGCAACTTGTAATAAGAATCATTTAGCTTCTGTTTCTGTTCAACATTATCATAAAAAATGGTTATAATGATTGCGCATTTGAAATCTATACCTTGGCAAGACCAACAGCATGATAAACATTTACATCTCATCGTTTTGGATTATATTTTATTCACAATTGATTGAACTACAATATCTTCCTTTTGATTTGCTAAAAAACTACCAATATAATCAGAATTACATTTATAGGTGGCTTTACTTATAACAAATCTTGAAAGTCTATTTATAAAAATTTTTAAAACGTTTCTTATTTGCAAATTAATTGGTTCTCATTTTATGGGATGGGCGAATGGGACCTAGGTGGCAAAAAATGCTATATTTAAAAAATTTATTAATAAAAAAAAATTTATATATAAAAAAAAAAAATTAGCTCTTATAAAAAAGTCACCTGACCAGGATGAGAACTAATTTTATTTGTTTGCATAGCTTATTATGTTTTTATACTGAACTCTAATAATTTTGCTAAAAAAAAAAGGCTTGTTATATCTCGAGCTAACTGTATAATAAAAACACTACTTCATAATATACAAATATATTATTGAATAAAGCCTTTTTTTTGAGAAAATGGAATGATTAACACAATCTTAGTTTTTCTTAGTTTATACCTTTATTCTTCTACCTCTTTATCTAAAGTTAGTGCCTTTAAGTATAAAAAAATTTTTAATATACTAATTTTATATAGCAATTTTATATCGACATGTAATGTTAAACCTTTGTATCACATATATGCATTATCATAGCCAATTGATCAATAGCAAATAATTTTAAAAATATATATTTAAAAACAAATTTTAACTACTAAATATACGATTAAAGAAAAAAAAGTACAAAGTTTTTATTATATTTTTTTTAAGCTATCTAGTCACAAAGTGCAATTGCTTTTTGTATAGTTTCTGGATTTAGCTATTCATGTTTTACGATATCTATGTCTGAACCTTTAGAAAAAAGTCTTTTAGAAGGTGCACTTGTTGCTAGTATGGCGAGATAGTCATGTGCCATACTTGCTAATATTGGAAACTGTTCAGTATACAAGTATCACCATTTATATATGTCTATTCTAGGATGTACTGTAGGACTATCCAAGTACAAACTAATTTCATCCCTAGAACTGTAAAGTTTTCTATAAATAAGGTCAAGAGAATTACTATCAGAAATATTACTAACTATATAATTATTTTTATATTGATTATATACATCATTTAGGCTTTTTGTTGCCCAAGTAATCCATTCATTGTCTTAGCCTTCTTCTTCATAATATGCTTTCTTAAACCTTGGATCAAGCAAGGTTGTTACGGCATATGCAGGACCACCACTTTTTGTATAATAGATAATTAATTTCTTAAGTGCTTGCTCGATGGCTTTATGAATTATTACGATTGAACAATTATTTTGCATGTCTTTAAGATCATCTATAATTTGGTTATAGGCCATTATAACAAAAGATATCGTGACATATGATTTATCACATAATACCTCAGACATATCGCGGAAGGATTTTAGAGATAAAGACACAACTTCTAATACATTCCATTCTCTTTTCGAAAGACCAAAATCATTTAATTCTCAAATTTCACTAACTATTTTATCAATAACTAGTAACATAGTAATAGCCTGTTCAATCATGCTAAGTGTAGAATTCCACTGGGTCTTTGAGTTAAGAATTGGAGTTTTTATTGTATATTAAGAGATTCATATAGTTCTTTTAACTTATTATGATGTTGAGGTGAAGATCGAATTTTAGCAATTAATATTCAAAGTTTTTTTATGGTTGGGGTTTGGGTGGTGGTAAACTGATCTAGGACTTGAAGCTCATCCTTATCTTGATCTAATGGCTCTGAGCATAGGTGGTTCAAAAAGGCTTGTAAGGCAAGATTAATGACATGAGCCATGCAACGAACATAACCATGTTGCTTAATAAAGGAGCCATCAATGCTTTTACATTCAGCCTTAAATGTCTCAAGTAATGTCATTACTTGAGGCATTGTCAACAGTTATTCCTAGAATTTTATTAATAATACCGGACTCATTACAAATACTAACTAAAGTATTTAATAAATTAACTCTAGTATATGCCCCATCGAAAGGTGCAAGATCGAGAACTTGCGACTCAACCTCCCAATTATTACTGATCCAGTGAGCTGTCACACACAGAAAAGCCTTATAACTCTTACTTGTTCAGAGGTCGACAGTAAGAGAAAGCTTACTTGAATTATCTATTAGAGTCTTTTTTAGGAAGGTTTTTAGTTCCGAGTATTGTTTTAACAAATCTTTTTTAACCATGCTTGCAGAGGAAACTTCAATATCACCCAAGGCTTTAATTAATCTAACCAACTTCCAGAAACTTTCTGATTCAATAGTTGTAAAGAAAAGACCTTCTGCTACAATCCACTTGACCAATGCTTCCCTAAAAATGCTTTCATTTGACTGAGGAACTAGAGCTGCAAGATCTTCAGAACTGTCTGCCTTGGAGATGTCAATATTATGAATGTTAGAAATATAGTTGCGCAAACTGGTAGTGCTACTACTGCTTATAATAAGAAATTTGTTATGAGAACAGAAACAGCATTTGCTTTTTACTTGCCAAATTCCTCAAAGGGTGGTTCAAAAAATAACTATACTTGATTTTTTTTTTGACTTGGTATACGAGCATGACTAGTAGAAGCCATTTTTTAAAATAAAATAATTATTCGGTATAAAACTTTTTATTTAAAAAAAAATTTAAAGATATGATTTTATTTGTTATTAAACAAGTTATAGGCTTTTTTCTATATTTATATTTATACTTTTACTCTAACTACACTAATGATTTTTTTGCACATAACGATCATACATAACATTTGCACATAAATATCACACATAACATTTAAATATAAAGTTCATAAACCAAGATTATGCATTGGGATCACGCATTGAGATCATGCATAACGATTACACATTAAATTTAGTATTGATGAGATGTTAAGAAAATTTGAAAAAAAATTAGACCATGCAAAATTAATGTTATGATTCTCTTAAAGTTTTAAAAAATAACCTGGCAACCTCAGTTTTGAATTTTTCAAAAAATTTATATATATTAAAAAATATATAATTAAAACTTTTGTGAAATTAAACCAGGCCGTATCATAATCAATCAATTAAGTTTGCATAACTTTACTATTTACATATTAGATCCTGCTATCAAAATAAAATTGAATCACAACTTTTTTAAAAAATTTAATTGTATTATTTATTTAAATAATCACATAATTTGTTTTTATTAAAGGACGAATCTAATTGTAACATGCTACATAACAACCTCAAAAATTTAACCTGGATCTAATTAAAAATTTTTATTAAAATTATTTATTAAATTTTGCATAATAAAGTAAGCAATTTCGCTACATAAAAAAAAATGCAGTGGATTACTATCCCAATTTATATATGGGTATGCAAAGGAGAAACCTGAATTTTTTTATCTAATAAGAATTATAGGTTTTCCTTTGCAGCACTCAAATCTAAGCGAATCTAAATGTATAGCATATTACCATACGCAACTACGTCTAAAATTATAATAATGCAAAAAAAAAGGTCAAGAGAAGTCAGAAAGAACTATCTGATATAAAAGGCCAAAAAAAAGTGTTAAAAAAATGAGAAGTCAGAATGATTTATCGAAATCACTGCCAAGACAACAAGAAAAATCAAAAAGATCCATCATAATCACCAGAAGAACCGCAAGAGAGGGTGAAAAGATTCACTATAAATGCCAAAAAAAATTACAAGAAACCAGTAAGAACCAATGATTCAAAAAAAAAAGAGAACATACATATCACAAATTAAGGAAGCTGGAAAGAACTGCCAGAAATAAAAACATCATAATCATTGGAAGAATGAGAGAACCAGAAAGACCACAAGAAAAGCCGAAAGATCCATCATAATTGACAGAAGGAAGACTAGTAAGAACCAAAATTCAATAAGAAAAATGAAAAAAAAAACATACATACCACTATAATTCCTAAAAGAAGAGAAGCAGAAAAACTATAAGAGAAGCTAAAAGATTCACTATAATTGACAGAAGGAAGACTGGTAAGAACCAAAATTCAATAAGAAAAAAAAAAATATATATATATACATATCACCATAATTACCGGAAGAATGAAAGAAGCAGGAAGACCATAAAAAAAGCCAAAAGATTCACTATAATCGACAAAAGAAAGACCAGTAAGAACCAAAATTCAATAAGAAAAAAAAAAATACATATATACCATCATAATTACTGGAAGAATGAGAGAAGCAGGAAGATTACAAGAAAAGCCAAAAGATTTACCATAATTGACAGAAGGAAGACCAGTAAGAACCAAAATTCAATAAGAAAAAAAATATATATATACATACCACTATAATTACCAAAAGAATAAGAAAAGCAGGAAGACTATGAGAAAAGCTGAAAGATTCACCATAATCGACAGAAGGAAGACCAGTAAGAACCAAAATTTAATAAGAAAAAAAAAAACAAACATACCACCATAATCACTGAAAGAATGAGAGAAGCAAGAAGATCATGAGAAAAGCTGAAAGATTCACTATAATCGACAGAAGGAAGACCGATAAGAACCAAAATTTAATAAGAAAAAAATAAACTATACATACCACCATAATCGCTAGAAGAATAAAAGAAGCAGAAAGACTACAAGAGAAGCTGAAGATTCACCATAATCGACAGAAGAAAGACTGGTAAGAACTAAAATTTAATAAGAAAAAAAGAAAAAAAAAATATATATACTATCATAATTGCCAGAAGAATAGAGAAGCAGAAAGACCATGAGAAAAGCTGAAAGAGCCATCATAATCAACAGAAGAAAGACCAGTAAGAACCAAAATTCAAAAATAAAAAAATAAAAAAAAAATATACATACATGCCACCATAATCACCAGAAGGAGAAAAGCAGAAAGACCATGAGAAAAGCTGAAAGATCTACTATAAATGACAGAAGAAAGACTGGTAAGAACCAAAATTCAATAAGAAGAAAAAAAAAAAAAACATACATACCACCATAATCGCCAGAAGAATGAGAGAAGCAGAAAGACCACAAGAGAAGCTGAAGATTCACCATAATCAACAAAAGGAAGACCGGTAAAAACCAAAATTCAATAAGAAAAAAAAAAAACATACATACTACCATAATCACTGAAAGGAGAGAAGCAAAAAGACTATGAGAAAAGCTGAAAGATTTATCATAGTCACAGAAGGAAAACTGGTAAGAACCAAAATTCAATAAGAAAAAAAAAAAAAAACATACATGCCACTGTAATTGCTGAAAGAATGCGAGAAGCAGAAAAACCACAAGAAAAGCCGAAAGATTTATCATAATCGACAGAAGGAAGACCAGTAAGAACCAAAATTCAATAAGAAAAAAAGACATACCACCATAAGTAGTAGGAATTAAAAAAAAAAAATTAAACAACTTACATATTACAATTTATAACCCGTCTACTAATCTGAAGATGCCTGCAAACCTGAATAGCTTAGTCGTAGTTGATTTATGAGTTATAAAAAAGCAAACAATACTTTTTTTTAAATACTTTGAAATGAAGTAATCTGCGTTCATCTACTAAATTAATTACTAATAAAAACAAGATCGTAAAATATAAGCATTATATTTGATTCACTAGTTTACTAAAAATAAATAACTATTTAAGATCTAATTTTTATTACAGGTAGATGCTTAAACTCGATAATCAAGTTTTTACTCGATTTTGACAAGCACTATTAGTATATTAATAACATGTACAGGTTCTTTTATTGAGTTTCCTGGAAGACCCACAAAATTAGGACCTTTAAGTATCTTCTTCTTAGTAAAAACTTGGGTTAATCTGTTTGTCAAGATCTTTGTTGTGCACTTTTTTAAAGTTTCTAGCAGAGCAATAGGCCTGACATTGTTCAAGTTATATTGCTATTCTGTTTCTTTTGGTATAGGATATATTTGTGATATTTTTTATTTTTTTGGTATGTTACCTGCTTTGATGCATATTTCTGCAAAGATTCTGAAAATCTCCTATATATACAGTCCTGCTGCTTGTATAAGCTGATAAGTGATTTCTGTAACTCCTGATGCCATATTTTTTTTTTAAACCTGTTAGCATTTCTGACCATTCATTTGCTGTAATGTCTTGGCTTATATCTTTGTACCAATCTGACTGTATTAATGTTTTAGGTTTGTAAATTTCTTTTCATTCTCTATTTAAACTTTTTTTTCTAAAGTTTTGGAGTCTTAATTGGTTTTGAAAATGTTTTTTGGTCTTGTCAAGGACTGCTAATAGTTCTACAATTAATTTTTTATAACCATTTATGTCTTTTATAAGTCTGTCTATTTTGATTTTACTACTTGGTCTGTCAAGCAAACTTGTAAGCATTTTTACCTGTTTGCCGTTAATCATTTAACACCTTTTTTCTATATTTTTTTCGATTTCTCTTCTTTTTAATATTCAATCTCACTTGATCTTCTTGCATAAAATATTTTTCACCAACCTTTGAGATCTTTTATTAGTTTTTTCGTTCAACCTTTGGATGCTAATTCGATATATGTTTTTTGATGTTGGTTGATGTATTCTATTTTTTTATTGAGTTCTTGTATATTGTCCTTTAGAAAACCAAGTCTAATATTTATTCTACCAATTCTGATCCATCTTCCTAATTGTGTTAGTACTTTGGTAAGTTTTGCTTTTTTTGTCTGCTTTTTCTTATTTTCTATTGTATTGAGTATTTTCTTTTTAGGAAGTAATTTTCTTGCAGCTGATTGTATGCCATTACAGATAATATCCCACCAGTTAACTAATTGATTTTCTATGTTTGTTGACATGCTTGCATTATTTAAACTATATGATATGTTTTTTAGATCTTGTATATTAATTTTTTTCTTTAGTTGTTGGTCAAGTTTTGCTTTGTAGTTTTCCTAATCTTCTTTTGTTGCTTTGTTGTATAGGTAGATTGTTCTTTGTTGACCAAATCTTTTAAGTTTTGCTGGACCCCATATAGCTATTAAGTGTTTTAAATCTATTTTTGCTAGTACTACATTGTAATCGCTGTTTGTGCATATATCCATTTCCTGTATTTCTGCATCATAGAGTCTATATAATAAATCTCTGTTATCCATATTTGGTCAATTTTTGAACTTGAGTCTCTACTTGAACAGGAGAATTTTTTGGTTTCTGGATTTATTGTTCTATAAGTATCACAGAGCTCCTGTCTTGTTAATCACTTGAGAAGAGGATCTTGTTTTTCTGACTTTTGTTTTGGGTTATCTGATCTATCAAGTTTATTATTAACTACACTATTAAAGTCTCTCATTATTATTACCTGTGTTCTTTGTGATCGTTTGATGTATTTTTCTATTACTGATCTTTGAATTTTCTTATGTTCTTTTTTGTTATTAGGTGGCATATATATCATTATGATTAATATTTCTAGTTGTTTAAATACAAAGTTGGCTGTAATCATGTTTTCATTTGTTCTATCTATTCCTTCAAGATGTTTTTCTCAGTGTTCATTAATAAGTATGCCAACACTCAAGCACTTTTTCTTTTCTGAATTTAAATTTGCCCAGAAACTTTTATATTCCTTCATATTTTTTGTAATAAAAAAACCTTCTTTGCTTGAAATTTTTGTTTCTAATAGCCCAATTATATCTATTTCATTGTCAATTAGCCATTCATACAGTGTTTCTATTTTTTAATTATTTCTCTTAAAGCCATTGATATTATGCACTGCTATATTTAAGTTGGTTTCTTCTATTTTTTCATTTCTTTCTTTAGTCTTTTCTTTAATTTTTTCTTGGTGTAGTATATTTTTTTGATTTGTAATTTGTTTTCTCTTTTTCTGTATTGAAAAGACTATTGTTTCTACACCTTTGTTCTTTGGTTTAACTGCAACAAAAATTAGGAGCATTGTGGCCATCCTCTTTTGGTAAAAGTTTTGGATTGACTTTTTGTGTTTCGAGTCTTTCAAGCCTAATTAATATGTGTTGTAAAAGGTCTTGCATTTGTGTTTGATTTTCTGTATTTACATTTTTTCTGTTTCTTTTTCTATTTTTATATTTTTTGCTTTCTTGAGAATTTATACTTTCATAATTTTCTGAATCAGCATCTTGACCAGATTCATCTATATCTTATTTTTTTCTGTTTTTTAAACTTTTTCTTTTTTTTGTTTCTCTCTTTTCATCCATTATCCAATAAACCTGAAGTTGTTGTATCTGATTGGTTTGGTTTGGGCTAAGTTCATTTCCTTTTTCGTTGCAAAGGTGATTTTGCTGTTCTTCTTTGATTCCCATTTCTATTTGATGGAATATAAACAGACTTTGCACTCTTGTTTTTTAAACATCATAGCAAAAGTACTTCTGATGCATTTCTAAGAAGTTCTGTTAACTTTGCTGTAAATTGGCTTTGGCGATTTCTTTCTTCATAATCTTCATCCTCTTTTGTTACTCTTACTAGTTTATTATCATTTATTGGTAATGACCAAGGTATGTCTTTATCTTTATATTTATCTGGTTTGATTACTGCCAATGCTTTGTACTTTGATCTTTTGATTCTAACTATGTTGGCCTTTTTGATTTTTCTGCAAATAAAATCTAATTCTGTTCTATTTATGTTTGCTAGTAGGTTCCAAATAGTTAGATAGTTGGCATAAGTTTCTTCTAGTTCTTTTTTACCAAGGAAATTTTCATCTTCATCTTTTTTCTTATTTGATTTATGTTCAGGTTGCTTTCCTTTAACATATGATTGCTTAGCTTGGTCTTTTTCTTTATTTTTATTTTTTTCCTCCTCTTAAATGAGCTTAAGCCATTCTTCTTCTTTTCTACTAATTCTTTTGATTGCTTCATCTCTACTGTGCTCACAATCAAAGTCAACTTCAATCCAATTATTTTCTTTTTTAAAAGCTTCTTTGATTGGTCTTATATGTTTATTTTCTCCTAATCTATTGAACATATTTGATTCTTTCTTCTTTTGTTTCTCCAGGTAGTATATAGGTAGGGAAATTGCCTTTGAAGGACTTGTTTTCTGTACATGTTCTGTATCTAGGAAACCAATCACTATGTTCTATTGAGGCTGAAAATGAGGAGGAAGATGAGGAGGACAAGTAGGTAGGCAATGATATAAGGTCTTCTAACTCCATTTGTTCAATTTCCGTTGGTTCTACTGATATGTTTTTATTGACCTTTTCTTTTCTAACTTCTATTCTTATTTCTGTAAAGTAGTTTGTAGCTGCTTCTTAATATTGCTGTTCTATATTAAGTTTTTTAATTCAGCTTGTTATGACTTCAACATCTGTCTCAATTCTGTTTCATTATTAATTGCTTGACATCTTTTTTTTGAGAGTATATTATTGTTGGAATTCTCCTTTTCATTTTGATTTTTTTTCACTCCTTCTATTTTTTCTTCTTCTTTTTGTATTTCCTTCTTGCTCATATCTACTATATATTCAACTGATGCTGGGTTAAGATTTGCCATTCTTATTTTGTTGGCCCAATCTTTAACAAACTTTTTTGATAAAGTTATCATTACTTCTGTTTCAACTTTAAGTGCTTTAAATATTTGGCCATATAGTGTTAAGTTGTTTGTTGTAAAATTTTTTGGGTCATTAATTGCTAGACCTTTAGCTATAATTTCGATGTCGCTTGGATTCTTGTGCATGGTTGTCCTTAGTACTTGATCCAACTTACAACTATTTAAATATCTACGAACTATATCACCTATTTCTTGCATATGTTGAATTAAAAATTGATCATGGGGCATTTCCATTGTGATTTGTATATCTGTTTCTAGACTATTCTATTAATGTTTACTATTTTTAGAATTTTCTATAGTTTGTTTATTGTTGATTTTGCTAATATGTTTATATTTCCTAAATAGGATGTGTTTGCTCTATGAACTTTGTTTATCAAAGACTGTTGATATGTATTATGTATTTATTTATTATTATTCAGGGTCTAAGTCAAATCCCCAAATTTTTCAAAAATTTCATCTCAATTTTACAAGAGTTCAAAATTTTTTGTTGTGCTTCTATTTTTTCTAGTTGTTATTCTAACTAAGTCTATTTCTTTTTTCCTTCTTGAAATTATTTCTTAGTTGTTCAAAGTGTTGTTCTTAATCTAGTTTTCTACTTTTCTTTATAATTTCGATTTTGCTTTCTTATAAAAATGTAGATCAACAGAAAGAGTTTTTTTTTTTTTGATTCTAGCTTTTTATTAATACTTATGTCAAGAATATATTTTATACAAATATATTCATATTGAACTATCAGATAAGTATACAAATAACTATATGCATAACTTTTTTATATTACCTATTTAAGAAGTCTGTCTGTAGTTTCTTTACTAGTTATCATACCTAACACTTCTACTTAAATGTTTTATTTAACCCTTTGATCTGACTCTAGTATTAATTTTATCAGATTACAGACCTAGATCTATTTGCTTTTAACTATAGAACTATAATTCTTAGACTATATTTATTCTTAAAGCAAATCTACCAGAATAAGCCATATTCTCTTTTATTACTAACCTGGTTTGATATTATGGCTAAGACCAATACTTGCAGTTAGAGTTATCATTAAACTGCTATTATCTTTGTAAAGTTCATCTAAACCATGGTATTCATCTTTTTAACTTTTTCTCTATTATCTCCTACTAGTCACAACTTAGAACTAACTAAATTTTCAGACTTTCAATCCAGATGGCCCAGTATGATATACTTATGTATCCTTTTTCTCTAGTAATTCTGGTGACCTGGTTGGTAATATGCTTCATTATATATCTTGTTATCTAGTTTATTTGACAGTTTCTATAAAGATGTTTTATGGGCTTTCATCAGTCCAATGGTACTATTGAAAATTTGTACTATCTCTTTACTTAGGATTTTCAAGTAAATTTCTGTCTTCTTAGTTTTTTAGCCTTCTATACCTAGTGGTCTTATCACAAGTTTGCACTAAAGCCTTATATAATATCAGTTTTTTATATTTCTTTATATATATATAACATTACATTTTATATAGATGCCCAGAGCTTCTAATGTTAAGTTGGACCCAACTTGATATACCTAAGATTACAGATGTCCAAAATCCAACTAATCAGCAAAAGACAGTTACTATAACACAGTTATAATTTTTAAATTTCATTATCTGTGAGAATTGAACCTTAGACCTGCCACTTGAGGGTTGACAACTTATCCACTTTACTAGATCATCCACACTCTCATTTGATTTGTTGGTTAGATTATAAGATAAATAGAAGGAATAATAGTTTGGTGTTTGGTGATAAGAAGTTGAAAGAAGCTATGAGAAATCTAAAATAAATAAAGAGATTTTTTAAAAAAAAAAATATTAAAAAGTGGTTTGATAAAAAATATAAAATAGTTGATTATTTATATAATAAAGTTGGTAAAAAGAATAGGCATTTGAGGATAAGTGTAATGATATTAATTTAGTTGTATTAAGAAAAAGATTTGTAAAAGATAGATTTAAAGTAGGCTAAGTTAGATTAATAAAATTAGATTGTTTTAGTTATAGAATTTGAATAAACTATTATAATTAATGATTTTTAGTTAGTTTATTTGTATATAAGTATATATTGTTTCATGAAAGAATATTTTTGTTATCTGCATTTGTAATTTGTTTTAAGAAAATAATTTTGTTATTTATAAAACTATTAATAGTAGTTATAGATAGGGTAAGTAGGAGAATATTATAGATAGTATAAGAGTTTTTTGGTATTAATAAAGAATAAAAAGATTTGTGAATTAATTAAAAAGAAAATATTATTTAGAGCAAGTTGGAAAAGGTGAAAAAATAAAGTATAGTTTTGTGTTTTATGATAATGATTAACTTAGATATTAGTTAAGAGTTGAGGAGACTATATTTTAGTTAGTCAGTCTTTAATTTATTGTATGCCAATGTTTTTGAGAATTAGTAGTCTATTAAAAATATATTCGATATTAGTTATACTAACTTTTTAAATAATATTATTAAAGAATAGTAAATTGAAAATAAGTAGATTAGTAATCATTATATTATTAGCATTTTTAGCTAGTGATGTCATTTTTTTTGGTATAAATAATAAATAAATAATTAAATTTAGATAGTGCATTTACATGAATTGAAATAATTTAAAATAAGTATTCTAATAAAAATTATAAAATTAAATTAAATAGTACTGAAATTTGTAAGAATATTACTTTTTATATTAAATAAGAATAAAAATGTTTTTAATTTTATTTTGAATTTAATTAAGAGTTGGTATAGAAGAATTTTTACTATTATAAAAGATATCGAGATAACATATTACATCTTAAGATTTTTAAAAAAAATAATCTGATTACTTATTATAAGAGAAGAAATTAAGTTTATTAAGAATTTAGATTTGATATGAAAAAGATTAGATTTGAAAACCTTGATTTCTATATTATTAAATTTATATAATATTAAAGTATTATTTTTAATGTTTTGTATTACATTTGTGCTTTCACAATGTTAGGTAATATCATTCTTAAAGGTTAATAGTAGAATTATTATTGGAGAAGGTGTTGTATTTGTTATAATATCAATAAAAGATTGATATGAAATTTTAAATAAATGATTTTAATATTTTCTATAAATAAAAAAGAATATAGAGTCATAATAAATTTTTTATAATTGAGATAAATAAGTTTTATCTTATTTAATATCAAAGTTGATTGATATTATAGAAGTAAGACCATAAGCAGTAATTAGTCTAGAAAAATAATAAGAATGTAGTTTAATAATTAGGTTAATTTCTGTTAAAAGAATTTCTATTCTTTTATATATATTCAGAAGTCTTGATATATTAATTTTATCAAAAACCTTAGACATATTTTGAAAAAGAATCTGAGATTTTTTATTATTAACTTTATAATATTTAATTGTATTATATAAGATTTGCATAGAAAAAAATGAATAAAGGAGTTTTTGATATTTATAAAATTTAAATTTGATAGAAAATTGTAACTTGAAATAATATTATCTAATAATTTATGAATATTTTAGTAAAAACTTTTTTGAAAGATTTTATTATAAAGATTGATCAAACTTGATTTAATATATAATCTTAGTTTAATTTTTTAAATATTAAAAAAATATTAGAAGATTTATAGTTTAAGAAGATTTTTTGAAGTTGGAAATATTTATTTAAGAAAAGTCAAAATATTTTATACTTTAGGATTAATAAATTTTATATATTTATAGCAGATTTCAAGAAATTCTACTATTTTTTAATTAGATAAGTCAGAAATTAGATTCTGTTATTCTTGTTCAGATATTTTATAAATGTAATTTTAAAATGTATTTCAAATTCAGAATATGATTTATAAAATGAGAAGTATTCAGATAATGATGAAATAATTTCAAAAGGTTTAGTTTTAAAATATTCAATAAAATAATATTTGATTATATTCAATATTTCTTTATGTTCTATAAGAAGATTATTATTAAAAAATAATCTGTTAATATTAATATTATTGTATTTTTCAAATATTTTTTTATAAAAATTTTAGATATTTCTTTAAATAATTTGTTTTGATCTTCTATTTTTCCTTTAATATTATTATATTTAAATTGTTGATATTGGTAATTAAGTATAGTTTTAATAAGTTAGAATTTTTTTTAACTTGAATCAAAAAGAGTAAAAGCATTTGAAATAAGCAATCTAAATATTTAGTTTGTTATTTAGTAAATAGTAAGTTAAAGTTGATTGAATCTATATAATTTTTAATAAATTGTATTTTTTTATAACAAAAATAAAGTGAGAAATGTTTTAGTAAAGATGAGTCTTTGATTTCTTTAATTATTTTGATTTTTTTAGAAGAAATGTTTTAGTTGAAGCTTTAATTAGTTCTTTGTAAATATTATTTCATGTAGTATTAAGTAGGTTTTATTTAAAATTAATAAGATTTTAAAAACTAAGTGTTAGAAGTTTTTGAAAGTTTGATCAGTATAGTTTTCAAAATTTTCTTTAGTGTAATTTTTTTAAAAAAAAATCTTGTATTTGTGTTATTTATGGGATTTAGGTTTATTAATTATAATAGAGATTTTTAGAGTTGTATTGTAACAATCTAATCAATTATGCCAGATGTAAGGATTTCTGTATAATCAATGTTAGTAATAGATAAATTAATACAGATTTGATTAATTTAACTTTGTATATTATTGCAATTAAAGATAAAGTTATAAGTATTTGGATAGAAAACTTGAAAAATATCTTTGAATTGAAAACTAATTAGATATTAAAATAATTTGATTTTCAGAAATCAATGATTTTTTTGAAAAAGATCTGTCAAATCTTGAATAGATATCTAGGTAACTTGTTTCTATGTTATGTTGAAGTGAAGGCTCATGTTGCAATGTCAGTGCATTAATTGATAAGTGAGGCATTATGTAGCATTGTTGAAGCATGATGGTTTGTGCAACCTAATACATGAAAGAACAATCAACTCACACAAAAGAATTTGTCAATTATTTCTAAATACAGATATGTTTTGTAAATTTTTAATGTTTTTTACAGGGCTCCAAATTTTAAGTCAGGTTCATAAGAACTGAGTGATGCTAGCTAATCAACTATATAGCACTCAGACATTGACTTTATTAATAGGTTTTTAGACTTAGTCACTGAAATTCAACTATCAACTTCTTTTATAAAGAGTCATTTTCTTATACCAGGAATGGATTGCAATGAAGAATATCGTTTCCTGTGACTGAAATGGTGTCTGTGTAGATTTCTCCCGTTCCAACGTTGCGCAGCTACTTATTGTAAAAATGGTCCCTTTTAATACGAGGCACCCCATATATTGATTTGATCTCAGTGCATTTTGCACATCACTATTACAGACCGGAAAATCATGTCCATTGTGGCGCTTTTAATAAACCTTACGTTAGGGTTCGGATTATGACTGAGATATACATAATGCCAAATTTTTACAAGGAATTATTTTTATTAGTGCGCAGAAGATAGTTTCATTAGATAGAAATTTTTAATTTTCAGTTTTTTAAAAAAATTCGTGATTTTCACGTTACGCCATTGTTAACTAATTTGTTAATATTAACGTTAATCAAAAAAATTATACATACATATATTACCCACACAATACAGTAGTACCCAACAATTTATGTATTAAGATGCCGCGAACGAAAGTTGAAGAGACCCTCCCATTTATTCACAATCAGCATAAAAAAGACATCCAAAATTATAAAACTTATGATATTCCTTCAACCGTTGATTATAAAACTTATGTTCCTTCAACCGTTGATTATAAAACTGACATTCCTTCAACTGTTGATTCTCTATTCGATGTACCGCAATCTAAACGATCTTTAAACCGAAAAATTTCAATCTGTCTAGGTGTTTTTATTGGGGTTTGTTTCTTGGCACCAGCTCTAGTTTTATTCTTTTACGATTATAACGATTATGATGATGTTACGAGAATCCCTAAACGCTATCAATTGTGCAGAAATAATTACGATATCTTTGATTACACCATCGAATCATCCTCTTTATTTGCATCAAAAAGCAGTGAGCTGACTATGGTTCAAGATGTTACTAATTTCAATTCTTTAACTCAAAATTTTACCCTGAATTTGAACGCATCTTCACCAAATGTTACCTCTTCACTTACTAGTGCAATTATTAAACAAATTGATGGACGGCTTGGAGAATATCAAATTCAAGAATTTTTTTATCAAAATGATAGTGTAGTCTATTATGACTCGCCAGTAACATCAGTTTCTTACATTAAGAACATCTGGCCTATAATAGTTGAAATCTTTTTCAAGGCTTCAAAAAAAGGTCTTGAACCATCAGCACTAGAAGCATGCAATTTTAGAATTGTTTTTGATAAAAAGGGGTTTTTTAATGATTTTGATGGTTATATTGAACGAAGATGCGGTAGAGCTAAGGAGGATCATTTTTACCTGGTCTCTCAAGTCGAAGGAAATACTATTTTGGGTTTGAAATTTTTCCAACGTGAAAAAATGTTTGCGACAGTTTCTGGCAAGTCACTAAACAGAGAAATGAGGTAAATATGAACATAATTTTAATACATTAATTTAATCTATTAATTTTTACAATCTTTCTTAGAAATGTTGTGGTTGAAAGTGGAGCTCCATTTCTATCACTTATTCCTACTTTATACGCTATTTATTATGACTACTTTAAGATGAAACGTCAAGTGAACGACATAACTAGAATTCCTAATAGTTACCAATTGCTAAGAAACGATTGGGATATATATAGTTATAGTTATTCGATTCAATCGACATCATTCGTTTCTTATAATGCAAGTAACAACACTATTCAGGATTTCACTTACCTTAATAGAGCTATGATACAACCAATTGAATATCCGTCAGGAAAATATTATGTTAAAGAATTTTTTTATAAATCTGACACTGTGGATTATTCATTAACAACCACGAACTCGAATATTCAATATAAGTGGCCTGCAATAGTAGAAATTTATTTCACTAGCTCAGGAAATTTTCTGGACCCGTATTCTTTAGAAGTTTGTAATTTCAGGTTTGCTTTTTTTAAGGAAGGTTATGATAAAGACATTGAGGGCTTGGTTGAACGTAAATGTCCTAAAGCATTTGAATCTAGCTTTTATATTGTTTCAAGAGTTGAAGGAAATAGTAATATTGGGTTTAAGTTTTTACTTGATGGAAGTGAATTTGCAACTGTTTCATCAAAAACACAACCTAGAGAAAAAAGGTGAATATTGTAATAAATATGATCTTCTCGCTTTCAAGTTTTATATATATTACATGTAACTTTCTGCATTATTTGTTTGTTTCAATATATATTTGTACTTCGATTTAACCTGTCGATATTGCATTTTTTTTTTAATAATTTAATTTTTAGGGATGTCATAGTTAAAGATGAAACGCCGTTTCCATCTCTTATTCCTACTTTATATGCTATTTATTATGATTATTTTAAGATGAAACGCCAAGCACGAGATATAACTAGAATTCCAAATAATTATCAATTGTTGAGAGATAAATTGAATTTAAATAATTATGAAATCCAATCAACGTCATTCATTTCTCCTTATAATGAAATCGTTAACGCCTCACCTACTATTAGGGCTACAATAAAAGCAATTAAATATCCATCAGGACAATTTTCCATTCGAGAATTTTTTTATGAAACTAGTATTAAGAATTATTCACACACATTAATAACAGCCAACTCAACAATACAAAATAAATGGCCTGCAATTGTAGAAATTTATTTTACTAGTTTAGGAAATTCTTTGGATCCATACTCTTTGGAAGTTTGTAATTTTAGACTTGCTTTTTTTAAAGAAGGTTATGATGAAGATATTAAGGGCCATGTGGAACGTAAATGCCCCAGAGCATTCGAATCCAACTTTTATCAGGTTTCAAAGGTTGAAGGAAATAGCGATGTAGGATTTAAATTTTTTAATGATGGAAATGAATTTGCAACTGTTTCATCAAAAGTGCAATACAGAGAAAAAAGGCAAGTATTTAATAAATGTATTTATATCATCACATATATAAGAAACTCTTGCACAATTTTTATGATTAAATTATTATAACCTAGTGATTGGATCTGATACTGTTTGAATTAAATTACCAGATTCTAAATTTAACCATAAAAATTACAAGAACTTATTTACATTAATTATTTAATATGATTTTCTTTTCATGTTTATAATGAATTTTCTTTTATTTTTAGAGATATTGTTGTTAACGATAATTCACCATTCACATCACTTATACCCGGTTTATATACAATTTATTATGATTACTTAAAACGAAAAAGTCATGCACAGGATCTCACAAGAATTCCAAAAATATATCAATTACGTTGGAATAGTTGGTATTGGGGCGATTATAATTATGTTATCGAATCAAAATTTTATTCATTTTTTGCTATATCAGATATATATGAATCAAATATGTCCAACAATGGCAATATTTCTTTCAAACAAAATTGCATCTCGTCATCAAATGATGATGAAAATAGCAATAGCTCTTTCAAACAAAATCATATCTCGCCATTGAATTGTGATGTAAATCCGTCCACTATCAGAGCTGTTATTAATGCCGCTCAATATATAACAGGATATTATGAAGTCCAAGAATTTTTTTACAAACCTGGTTCTCAAGACTATTATCATACTTTAGTAACTGCAAAAGTAACTTTACAAAGTTTATTGCCTGGGATCGTTGATGTTTCTTTTATTACTTCCGATAAAGTTATAGATCCGTACGCTTTGGAAGCTTGTGATTATAAACTAATTTACTTTGAAAACCTTGAAGGCCAAATCAAACGTAGATGTAAAAGAGCCTTTGAAGATGATTTTTATATTGTATCAAAGGTTGGCGGAAGTACATATTGGGGATTGAATTTCTCTCCTGGCGAAGATGAATCGAGCTTATCTGCATGGATTTCTGCAGTGTATTATTGGCCAAGCCGGAGAAGAAGGTGAGAATAATTACATATTTTTTACTATTTATATTTTATAAATACTAATTTCATTGTCTTAGGGATGTAATGATCTTTGATGATGCACCATTCCCGTCTATTATCCCTGCTCTATATTCTGTTTATTATGATTATGTGGCTAAAAATAGATAAACACAGATAACTTTCTAAATGCAATTTATTGGGACCAGACTTTTAGCACTTGCATTTAAAGAACAATTAAGAAAAATGTATTTACAGAGATTAAACATATACTTTGCCAGAATTTGATGTTATATTCAGAAAGAAATTGCTTTAACCGGTTGTACATATACGTACTTGCTGACAAAACAAATTGCTTTTATAAAAAATCAAGTCAATAAAATAATTTTGATACTTTATAAATATATTATGTATATCATTTGTTTAAATAAAGGTTATTAACAAAGTTTTTGAGATATTAATTTGGGTTTTGGTTTGTGATTTGGGCATGGCATAGACAAACCCAAATTATTATAGTTTGGGATTTGGTAAAAAATCATTTTAAAGTATGTTTGTCCAAATAATATTTAATAGGTTAGTAATATCGATATTTTGTATTACAGAACAATGGTGTTTAAAGGTAACTAACTATTGTGATACCGGAAATTGTGATACCGAATATCGTGACCGATCACGTGAAAAATGCACGAAATGCAATAAGTGCAATAAATGTAATAAGTGTAATAAGTTACATTTAAGATCGGAAAAGGTATTTCGGATCCGAAGGGGTAGATAAGGAATAAAGGGAGAAAATAACGGATATTAAATAAATACGTGTAAATAGTTTAATTAGTTTTAATAGATAAGTCGCGACGAATTTTATATTATAAATAAAGGTCGAAATGGTCCTTAGGAGCAGTACGCTTCGTTGGCTTTATTAAAATACAAGTCCCAATACATTATAACGTCTATAATAAAATACTAACACTAAACCCAGTACACACCCTATAAAATCCCTAAACTTCGTTATTCGTTCAAGTTCTTGTTCACGTGACTTACCCTACTTGTATATCTTCCCCAGTATCGTCGTCAAAATTTTCACTTTTACGTGACCACGTTTAAAAATCTTTAAATTTGTTTAAGTTAAGGTTAGTGGTTATAATAGGGCTAGGTTTTAAACAAATAATAGTAAAATCACTCAAGGAATTTTTTTTGTTAGAGCTCAAAAAGTGGTTTCTTATGCAAGTTTTTGAGGAATAAGCGATTTTTGAAAAGCGAATGTTTTGTTTTGATCTTCCTGATCATGTAACGTTACATTAAAACGAAACACACTATTGGATGATCATCATGTGAAAGTGAAAATTTGACAGCGATCCTGGGGTAGTTTACTTGTATTCATCAACCCAAAGTAACCGAAAGCTTTAATCGTCCACCAGCCAAATTTAACACCCTCTTTCGAAAAGGTTACCTATCATATGTTATATGATAATTTGAATTGTGGAGCGACAGAGTCGCAAACATTCGAACCCAACACTGTTTACTGTAAATAACTATAGTTCTTTCATCAAGGTTTCAAGTTTATAAATCTGATTGTTTATCTAATTGTTTTGTATATAGTTTGCAAAATGTAATTTCGCAGATCATTCAAAAGAGAAACCAATTGAGCACAAATTTTTTTAGACAACAGATTAGACTTAATAAAATATATTGTGTATATTTGCTGATCTTTATACATTATAACAGTAAATATTTTCAGAATTAACATTACTTCATGGCTGTTTAGAATCCTAGCCATGGTGAAAAAAAAGTGCCTAGTCACATGTTGTAGATCATTTTGACCAATCATATTCATATATATATGTGTTATAGATCAACTTATTATTATAAGCAATTTTTTAAATATTGTGCTCAACTAAGCTTATGATTTTTCAAATACTGTATTCACTAAATTTGCACTTTTTAAATACTATACTCAACTAAGCAAAAACTGCAATTTTTTAAATACTATGCTTAATTAAACAAAAACTACAATTTGTTAAGTACTTGCTTAACTAAAAAACAAACAAATAAAACAAACATTATTAATAAATTCAAGGGTTCTGTTATTTAATAAAATTTTTTGACATATATAAAAAATAAATATTTTTTTATTTAAAAAATAAATATGTTTATTTTGTATTTTAATAATTTAATATACTATTATACAAATTACAATCTTTAATCCAATTAAAAAAGTAAACAAGATATTTAATATGTTTAAATTTTATTTGATCATCTATTACAATAAACAATTGTTAGTATTAACATAGAATTATATTAACTTTTAATTATGTGTTATGTTCTTTATATAAATATAATTTAATATAACTAAAATAAAAGTTTTTTATTAGATAATCCTATAGTACTTTGCTGCTTGCATATATTTAATACTTGTTTATACTTATTAATTGTTTTGACAATTAGTTTTATCAAACTATCAAAATTTTTAGTAAATTTATTATTAGTCATCTCTCATTTATATAATATTAATACAACATCAAATATTCATTTATAATAAGTAAGTTTTTCTTTCTTAACTTAATTATATTATTTGAGATTAAAATATTATATAAATAATTAAATATAAAGTTTTCATTCTTAACAGAGTTATATTCTTATACAATAGACTCTAAACTTTAATAACCAACCAATTACATTTTATAAATTCAATAATTTAATTAGATACTTAGGTATTTCCTTAAATGGAAAAGGATCAACTAAATCTATACTTGAAAAAATCATTAACAAAGTATCTCAATTTATCCATATAATTCAATACAAAAAAACTTTTTTCTATACAAATATCTCAACTATTTAATATTATTCTTTCATCATTAATTGAATATTTACTTTAAATCTACTCTTTTCACAAAACTAACTGCAATAACTATCAAGTTTTTTAACAAAATGTACTAAACACATGCTTTATCTATTTACAAATACAAACAATAATATACTTACTAATTCACAATTACTCAATATCTCTATACTAAATAAATTTATTTTATAAATTAGTAATAACAACATAGAAAGATGTTTCAATACTAATGAACTTTTAAACCAAATTACTATACACTAAATTAAGAAATTGCTTTCTAAAATATAGAAACCATTTCTAACATAAGACACAATCCTAAAAAATTATAAGAAAACTACTAATTTTACTATAATATTCCAACTTTATCACTTATATAAAAACAATATATTTCTTAACAACTTTCATTTAACTCAGCTATCAACTTATAAACAAACTAACTAACTAAACAATATTCACAATTTTATTTCATTTTCAAATAATTCAACAACTTTTAGTCTTAAAAATAACAAAATTCTTTTCTTCAAACAACTCCTTATATCTGATAATCTAAATCTATCTTGGAAAAATATATATTTAAGAATTCTTAAATCTTCTTAAGGTCCTATTCTAAGCTGGTTTAAAATACTTTCAAACCAAATATTCATTTTTTTTATAACATACATATAGTCCAACATCTAACTTCTACCAATAAATCCAGTTCTAAATATATTTAATCTAATTATATCTCAATTTGATAATTTCAAAAACATATAAACAATTCATATCTTATCTTCAAATTGGCATATAGGTAAAATAACAAATAAATCTAACTCATTACTACTCTTTCAAAACTACCAAATTATCAATTCAATATTCAATACAATTTGCATTTCTCTTATATCTACAACAATTCAAACTAATTACAAAAATACTATTAATTTAAAATACAAAACACAAAAAAAATAACAACACTTTGAGCTCAACATTAACAACCAAAAAATCTAAGCACTTCAAAACATTTACACAAAGCTATACAAACCAATTCCTCAATTCTTACTCTCCTTTTCAATACCTTTATTAGAAATTCTCTTAATACAAATCACAATATCTGATTCTATTTACCAAAACCAACTTATCAATCTTTATAAAAAAATTTTATCTCTAGAATCAACTAATCTAAACTTTTATATATATGTCTCTATACTCAATTCACAAACAAATAACATCTTGACAGGCATCACTTGGATCCTTAAAAAGAATATACAAATCAAATTTAATGTTTTTATAACTCATGTATCAAACTTAATAAGAACTGAATTAGCAGTACTTATTCCTTTATTTCTTATTCTACCTACTAATTATCAAATTTATATTTATCTGAACAGCTTATCTACTATTCAAACACTCTCAAATACATTACTCTACTACTACAATTCGCAAACTAAACAAAATAATTAGGATATTATACATATGCTTAATTATTTAATAAAATTCAAAAACATCAATTACATTATATACAAAGTTAAATCATATCAAAAAATACTTTAAACAATATAACCAATTCTTTAGCTAAATAAAATATCAATAAAACTAAATTAAAATTCAACCTTGACCATTTCTATCTATCCACCTACTTTTCTTGAAAAAAATCTCAATCATATACAAACTATATAATTTTGCAAGAACCTAATCTCAATCTAAATCTTTAACAAACTCTTTCAACTCAAACTATTACAAAACCTTCCAACTATAAATATTCTATTATTAACTAAAATCTTCAACTTCCAAAACTCCAATCTCAAATTATATTCTATTATAAACAAAATACTTCTCAATAATCTACCAATAATGTCAAATCTAAATATTCATTATTCTTTCTTTTAACTAACTCCAAATTATTTATATTGTAATCAATATGAAAACATTAAACACTTATTTCAATACTTACTTCATTCCTACAATCCACAAAACATTCTTATTAATAAAATCTCAAATACTTTAAATATCACAGAATTCTCACCAAATAAAATAATACAAATTCTTACTATACATAACAATTCACTCAATTTTAATATATATAACATAATACTATTACTTATTCAGGATACAATAACTCTTAATCAATATAACCAACTTCAATCTATTCTAAAAAAACTAACTAACAATTTTCTTACTTTCTTATTCAACTTATTACTTTCCTGGTTCAACTCTACTATTTGGCAAACCCAAAATACTAAACAATATGAATGAGAATTAATACAAAGAATTATATTTTCTACTAAAAAAAAAAAAAATTATCAGATTACCTATTTCACAACTCACAAATTCTAATAATATTATTTTTACTTTCAATACTGATATTGATCTCTTTATTTCTAAAACTCTTATTCAAAACTTCAATATACATACTTGTTTTTATTAATTAAATAATCTTAAGGGTTCCTTTCATCTTCTCTGTAGTTAAGTTTATATAAATTAACTCAACTATAACAGAAAACTAAAGGATAATATCACACTAGATGTTATAATATATAACAACAATAGTGTAGCTTAGGAATAATATTTTAGTTATACATTTATATCCAATTGATATATAAATGTATTCTTATTCTTCTACTTGATATTTTATAAAAAAAAAAAAAAAACTGATTAAATCTTTGATTTATAATTGATTCTCATGATATAATATCGAATCTGTAAAAATTCATAATTGAAAAATGCTAATCTGATCACATAATAGTTGTGAAATGCCAAATTTTATATTAATTTACTACTATATATACTACAAACTAGAATTTAAGAATTAGTATTGAATTAAGCTATTAAATACAATTAGTCAAAGTTAATAGAATACTTCTATTAATTGTACTGCAGTAAGATCCTATAATCCAATCATCAAACTATATATTTAAGTTTTTTGAAGATTGATTCATATATGAATTTAAATATGAATTCATATTTACTTTTTACTCAACTAATATATAATTATATTAGACATATATAAATATTTTAAACTATAGTTCAAGACTAGGTCTACATTGTAATAAAGCTGGTTTTGCAATAACTTTTGTTACCTTTTAGTAAATTAAAAGGTTGTTACAAAACTAGCTCTATTTTAGTATAAAGCTAGTCTAAAACTATAGCTTAAATATATATATATTAGTTGAATAAAAATATGCATCTAAAGTAGTAAGAATGCATAATGGCAATCATATATAATGAAATTCAGATCAAGAAATTTTAATTCAATTTTAAAAAAAAATAAATAATTCAAATAAAAAAATTCCAAATTTTATTTTAAAGTATAACAAGATATTAGCATTTGTTAATTTAATTCAGATAGTCCTATGTCATTGTTGGTTTTTTGAAAGTTTAAATTAAGCTACTAAAATTATAAAATTTATTTATTGTACAGATCTTATATAATAACTTGTGCTTTTTTTATTTACTTATTGGTATAGTTAAACATTATGCAATAAGATAGTTATTATATGGGTATGAAAATAACCCAGTTATATACATAGGTTTATATTTAAATTTCATGTCTTCAGTACAGAATATGAATCTATGTATAACTGAGTTATTTATATATAACCTATACAATAACTATAATTTATTAATAGTGTAACTATATTTTATATAGCATCTAGTTTGTAATAGTTCTAGTTATCTTATCAGATCTAAACTAGTTTGCAAACTTTGAACCAAACTTCAAACCAGACCAGGCTAAGAAAAAAGTTTAAAATCAAACCTGAACCAGACATAAGTTTAAAAAAAGTTTGAGTTTGAGTTTAATTTAAAAATCAAACCAAACTTAAACTTAGTTAAAGTTTGGTTCAGTTCAGTTTGATAGTAACATTAGTCTAATTTTAGAATCTAAAAATATAGTTCTGGACTCAATTCTTTATATCAAATAACAGTACAATATATTTTATAAAACTTAGATTCTTGAACAGATCCTAAATTAGATCTATTAAATAAGTTTATCCAATTAAATTAATTTTGTATTGTTATAATAATTTAATTCAGAATTCAAGTTTTATAAAATGTATTGTATTTTTATGTAATTTAAGTACCAAGTTCTTACTGATCCTGCAGATTTTTATAAGAATTTAGATTCAAAAGACTGATAAACATCTCTAATCATCATTATAACAAACACATGCATACATTATTATACAAAGTTACAAAGAAGAATCATTTAATCAAATGCTTATATTTACTAACTCTATTTAACTTGCACTAGACTATACACTTTATATTTCATATTTTATTTCTTAATTAATTAAGTTAATGAGTATTTATACTTGATAATAATAAAGATTTTAACAATAAGTGGATTTGAAATTTTGTAATATAAGTTCATGACTTTAATATGGATATTCATTTCAGCAATACAGTTTTATAATTTTGATAAGATAGGTCATAATTTAATAATGGTTAAAGGATATACAATATGTAACAATTTAATAATAGTTAAAGAATATACAATATATGACAATTTTGATTACATTAACTAATTAAGTAATAGATTTTGGAACCATGTAATATGCCAGTATTATATAATATGCCAGTATTATATAGTATGCCAGTATTATATAATACATCAAGCTTCCTTTATATGACTCATGCACCTAGTTTAATCATAAAAATTGTACAAGAGTTTTTTATATATAGGGATGACTACAGCAAAAGGTGATAATGTATAAAAAATTTTGATTCTGTAATTTTATAAAAATTATATATTTATTACTCTAATTTTTTAAGAAATTGTATGTTTAAGAAAAAACTTTTTTTGACACATTGCTACCTTTGCTATGAGGATTTCTAAATATAATTTTTATGAATAATATAAATAAATATATTTACTAAATATTTGTCTTATTTCTCTGTATTGTGCTTTTGATGAAATAGTTACAAATTTATTTTTATTGTTACAAGTGATTTTATACCAATTGAATAATAAATTGATAGTTAGTATTTTTATTATAAATTTTACTAATGTATTCTATATATTCTTAGGCTTCTTGCCAAAGATATGATGTTGATGATTCGATTACCAATTTTATTAACTTATAATCTTCTTGTATATTATAACTAACCTTGACCACAACACTTTGAATTAATACTTTATTCAAATTATAATATATTAGGTTTTGGACTAAATCACAATATATCAGATCTGTCAACTAGCCTAGTAAAATGTTGAGCTGTGCTAAGTTAAGTTTAGTACATTGAACCTATTGTTGACATTAAGAGTTTATATATTTTTGGTCATAACTTTTGATGTACTGAACCAAATTAGATAGAACAACCACCATTGGATATGCATGTATTCATGCCACGGAAAAAATTGTATACGTCTACTGTATGTTATTCACAATAACCAAAAGTTGGATCCCCGATCCACATTTAATTATCCACTTATGTGGATAATATCTGTTTTATTCTATACTATTTTTTTCAAATTAAAGCTACACATTTCATAAGTTTATCTTTACCACAATCACAAAACTTGATGCATTTTTTTCGCTTCTTTTTTTTTTAGCCAATGACTTTACTTTTCGTAACTTTAATAGCTTAGAAATCGTATAACATTAAAAAAAGTAAAAAAAGGTATATAATCAAAAAATTCAGGATCAGCCTGAATCTGAGATAAAAACATAGTATAAAAGTATAAATAAGAACCGGGGAATAAATCCAATGCAATTTTACCGACTAGTTAATTTTACTGGCAAGTTTTTTTTAAAAAATTAACTCTAATTCTAATCTGACCTAACGAAAATGACCATAATTACTTTGTCGGCGAAATGACTGTCAATGAAATAACTGTCGTCGAAATGGGTATCACATATAGAGAAATGTATGTGAAAAATATAGATCAGATGATGAATAAGTCATGCGGATCAATCAGATCTAAAATTTTGTGGACAGAAACAACTTTAAATATCATATAAACATAAACAATTTACATTCGTTCCTAATGTATCTTCTACATTGCTATATTTGGAATGTGTAAAGTTCACTGAAATTTATTTATGCTGAAACCGTACTCAAATTTCGCATTTCTCATTTTTTTACTGGCATGTATTATACGTCATACCAAATAATAATATGGTTTATTATTTTAGCGATTAATTTTATTTGCTTGAACAACACAAATACAGGAAAAGAAATATAATCTAAAAATAAATTAAGAGTATGAAGGTAGAAATTTAAGGTTAAAAGGTTGGTTCTAGCGGCTATAAAACTAGAATTACTAGTGTAAAATTTTACTTCCATCATTTTTAATTAGTACACTAAGGTCAGTTAAAACATTAGTTTTCGAGCATTTTTGCTTTTCTACTTCCGCATGTACCGGACTTTATATCAAGCTTTTCCGAGATAAAATTTATTTTTTCAGGGGTTTGTATCACTTTAATAAATTTTATCGTTTTAGCCCGACGGGTGACACAGTTAACCGTCTCATTAGCTTGCGGGATTTTTTTTTTTCTCGGAATTTTACTTTTTTAATTCCCGAAATTTTAAAATGAAAAATGACTAATAACGAAAGTCCTCTAATGAAATAATAAGTGCCATCCATTTCCATTGGAAACCAGGGATCTTAAATAAAATCTTTACACGACAGAATGTGGGTTTTTAAACGTCAATAGCACATGGCTAAAAGAATCCTAGTGCGATTATTTCAAACCTGCATTATGTTGTGCAAATAATTCTATATATAGAATTACAAATAGCATATCGATATGTTGTTGTGTATAAGCTGCTGGATATGTTACTGGCTGTCCCGAAAATAAATACTACATCTTTTTTGTAACCCATATAATAAATATAACGTATTACGACCGACTTAAATATTATAATTCCGCCAGCCATCGCTCTTGTGCCAAGGTAATTACATAATTTAATTACTTATATAATAGACCCAAATGTCTGGCTCATAGTAATGATTGAGAAACTCGTGTAACTTATGTGCGTACATGTATGGAATTTTCAGAGAAATAAAATACAAGATGCATAATAATAAATATTTATTGTAAAAGAATTGCCCATGATCATGTATTACTAAACATCATAATTTTTAGTAAATTTTTTACTTTTGTACACTTTATTAAAACGATTGATTTTAACTTTCTTACATTTTTTAATAAATTTAATGTACTATAATCAAGAGCATCTAATAATATCAATATGGGATGTATATCTTCAAAATCAACCGAATCTAATGATTCTCAAAATACACAATCCAACTCAGAATTTCGATACGTAGATGGTAGAAGATTTCATAATGTAGAAAATTCTGCATATCCTCTACCAAATGATGATGACGAATTAGATAGGCTACATTCACAACATTTCTTTGTAAGATATCTCTTTCAAAGCAACTTTTCTGCACCTATAGGACATCTTTTGTCTAACCCAGAAACAAAAATTCTCGATATTGGGTATGTAATTATGTTTATTAAATAATTGTGTACTATGAAACGAAAGTTGGTGATTTTACAATATTTACAATATTTATTATAATTTATATAAGAAAATTAACATATGTTCATAATAAAATTACTACTACTGAATTTGTAATTCGTATTCTACTTTAGATGTGGCGCAGCGTCATGGTCGTTTGACATGGCAACCACGTACGTGTATATAATTTCTTACATTTATCTAAAGCATAATTTCTGACGTGTAATTGAAGATATTTATACTTATTCTTATTGTGATTATTTATCTTTTTTTTTTTAGATATCCTTTGGTCAAAATTTTTGGTTTAGATATAACTGGACACCAACCTACCCAGATAAAACCTAAAAATTTCCTATTTGTTAAAGGAAATGTTTTGGAAGGATTACCATTTGGTGATGATTCTTTTGACTTTGTGTTTCAACGATTTTTGTTTATAGGATATCCCAAAGAGAAGTGGCCATTTGTAATAAATGAGATAGTTAGAGTTTTAAAACCAGGTGGATTCTTAGAAGTATGCTTATTTATTTAAAAGGGTTATATAATTTAGCGCATGTGCGTTGTAACGTAAGATATGGTGTAACGTTACACGATCAAATTCCTTGCAAGATTTGATTTCACGTTACACCTTATCTTATAGGGTGCGTCACAACTCACCTGTGAAAAATGATTAAAATTAAATATCAACCATTTTTTTTTAAAATAAAAGTTATGCGAACCTTCTCAAATGTATAATATAGGACCAGCAACAAAACGTTTAGTTGATGGTGGTATGTACCTTAAAGTTTTCTAATATATATTTTTTTTTAATTTAAATAATTAATGAATTATTCAATGAAATAATTTTTAAAGAAATGGAAATATTTGAACAACGAAACCTGGATTGTCGTATTCATCTAAAGTTAGAGGATTATTTGAAAAATCAAGGTTTCCATCTTTATATAATTACATATTATAATTCATTTTTTTATATTGTAAGTTTAGATAATAAAAATCGTTAATATTTTATATAAATTAGGTCAATTAGAAAATATTAAAAAAGTAGCAAAAGAAATTCATCACGGCATAAAATCTAATAACATCAATCTTAGCAAAGTGGTAAGTAATGTAATATTTTCATATTTTAAGAAATTAAACTAATTTATTTTTAATTAAACGTAAATTTTTTAATCATATGAAATAAAACAGGCAATCAATAATTTTGTTACAGCGTATACTAGTTTTAAATCAAATTTATTAAAAACGTTGCAAATTTCTGAAGATGAATTTAATGAGTTGGCTAAAGTGTCAGAAAAAGAATTATTTGATTTTGATAGTTATTTTCATTTCATCCGTTTTTATGCAAGTAAAGTTGTTAATAATAATAAGAATTAAATTAATATTTAAAGTAATAATAGAAATTTTAATTTTTAATATTGTCATATTGGCAATGCCATATGTATAAATATGCAACCCATTTATTTAACTGCAGCACTTAATTTATTTAATAATATTTGCTTAAGTATTTTAACCATTTTTCATTTACTACGTTTTATCTAATTTTCAATACTATTCAAAAAATTTACAGTTAAAACATAGTAAAAACTAATTTTTAATTTACTAGCATTAGTGAATTATTAATCTTATTATTAGCAAATACATAATATTAGAATTGGTGACTTGTAGCTAAAAATACAAATAAGCAATTAAGTTAGAAATTTTTTTTGTAACTATATAATCACTAACCAAAAAAAACTTAAAATGTTCATTATAACAAAGTTCATTCTAAGATTCAATTTTTTATTGTTATTCTGTTGGTTCTAACTTTTATATACTAATATCTATTAGTATTGGCTACTCGTTTTCACCAATCCAAAAATTAGCCAATTATGATTGAGAATTATTTTTGTTAAAATTTATTGCAAAGCAAGTTTTTATAAAACCGTCTTTTAAACTTATTTTAAATTCATAATTAAATATATAGAATATTGTAATATGGACATTTTTTATTGTTAGCCAAAAGGATGTTTAAAAGGCCATTTATTTGAAAAATTGGTTTCGAATTCATTCTTACTCATTCCCATTATACACAACCAATTATTCAATAACAAACCATTTTTCATTATTTGAAAATACTTGAAACCTTAGTTACTAGTAGTAGTGATCTCTTTTACAGCTTGGCGTAGCTGTTTTTTAATATTTATTACTTATTTTCTTATATAGTAGCCAAAAAACTATTTTATTAAATGTTTTTTTGTTATTTTTAATATTACTTAATAGCAAATACAATATTTTATTTGGGCCAAAAGTGATTTTTTAAAGATTAAAATTAAAATTGCAAAAGTTTAAATTTAAATTTATAAATTTTTTTAAAAATTTTTTAAAAAGTTTAAATATTACTAAATATAGTGATTTTATTACTATATTTTGTAATTTATTAGTTTTATATTTAACAATTAAATTACTGTATTAGAATATCTTTTTAAACATTATATTTTTAAAAGAGTACATTTAGTTCTTACCTAAAATGAAAATTTGATATTTATTATATTTTCAAAATTAACCAATAAATATACGATATTAAATATAATATGCAAATTATCTTTATGTAATAAAACAGAAATTTTTTTAAAAATTATCTATTTCTTAAATTTTTACCTATTAAATCACTCGTTGAGTCTTAAAAAATTTTTTTGTACAATTATATATTTAATAATTTTACAAATATTTGTATTTAAATAATTCATCTAGGTAGTGAATAAATTTTTTTCTGCCAAAATATACCAATAATGTAACAATTATATAATATATAAAAATTTATTTAAATTTATTTATTTTATTTATATAATATATAATTTTTAAATATATTATATAATAATTATTTTCTAAGCGTTATATATATAATGAACCAATTGTTATTAAGAATCTCTTAGTTTATTTTTACAAATTTAATATAGTTTTACTTTCTAACCTCTCATAAAGTTTTAAATATTTTTTAAAAAACATAACCATATTCAGAAACAAAATATATAAATCTAATTTGTCCAATAATTATAATAAAGCATTAAGGTTTCATTTTTATTTTTGTAATAAAATCACTTTCCTATGTTCATCCATGCCAATTTAATTATTTACAACATTTTTTACCATAAGGATACAAAACATTATGTTGTACATTAAAAACTTGCAAAATAAACAAAAAAATTAATAATGATCTGAGATGTATTAATATAAAAAAAAAGATATGCATTCAGGGCAGATATGTAATATAGAAATTTTGTCTTGTAAATAATGTGACTTGGAGAAGTTGTAATACCATACAATGAAGGAAAAAAATGATTTAAATAATGCTCATCAACACTTTATGCTAGAATTAAGAAATTCGGTAATGGAAAGAGGAGTAAAACTGAATTTGTCATTATCAACATCATGATGTACAGCATTATTAGATATGAATGCTTTAAAATCATCTATAAGTGGTGGAATAGGTTCTATCTTGTTTTTAAATCGGTGTTGCACATCTTTGTCTTCAATCACTTCCCATTTACAACCTTGAATGAACATAAAATTGGCATTTATTCAAAATTTACATTGTTTAACAAAAACGAAAAAAAAAGAAAGGAATTAATCTTACCGGAAACTTCTTCAAACTTTTGAAGTAATTCATTAAGTGTTAGGGTTAATCCAACTCTAATAATACCATTACGTGCTTCTGGTATTTTAAGCGATTCGGCAATATATCTTCCAGCATCAGCTAAAGAAATTATGCGTATTTTTGCATCATCATTAACATAGAATGTTGCTTTCTTATTCTTAGCATCAAAACCAAATGTTTTAAGGAATTCATAGAATATTCCATTAAATATATATGTATATTCAAGTCCACTTGTTTCCAAAGCCTCCCGGAGCTTATACTTGCTAGCAATAACTGGATGAGGTTCTAACCTTCATTAAAATCAATAGATTAATATTTATAAACACTTAACAATATAATAAAATAAATAACTAACCCTTGCGGTAACTCACTACCAAATTCTGATGGTATGAATCTCTTAACACCTGCTTCTTGGGCTGCGGTTAAGAGCATTATTTGATTATTATAATAGTCACCATTTATGGCACTAACAATAACATCTGTTCCTTTAATAGCTTTAATAAGATCGTTTTTGTCATCATAATTTGCATATACAATTTTTGCCCCTTTTGATGCTAATAAATCAGCTTTTTCATTATTATTTTCAGGTTTCTTTCGAAGAACATTTACATTATAACAGCCTTGTTTTAAAAATGCATTTGTAATATGGAAACCTAAATTTCCCGTAGCTCCAGCAATAGTAACTGTGTGAAATTGTGTCTCGTTCATAATAGATTATTAAATCCTTTGCTTACAATTGTACACTGTTACATTAAGATTTTTTTTATCAAACTTTGATTATAAGTGTATGACGTAGTACAATACTGCATACCAACGTTTGACAAAAATAATTTTTGTCACCCTCAAAAGTGTCGTACAACAATTAATTTATTTTTAATATCGATATCATATATCGATATCGATATTATGAATAAAATGGATCGATAAATCGAGATGAACTAACTCGGTTCAAGACTTCAAAGGAATAGTAGAATAGTAAAAGTCCTGTACTCTCACTTCTCGATACTTGAATTGTTCTAATAAAATCGAAGTTATGATAATTTTGTCTCCGTGATTTTCGTAGTAGACTATGCCTGCCTTCGAAACTTTTTTCAATGAATCTGAAAGTTTCGAATTTCTCTATCTATAACTTAAAATATTCATAATCAAATCAATGTTTGAGCATTAAATAAAGTTTTGCAAAACAACTTATATAAAAATTTAATGCAAATTAAATAATAAATTTTATCTTAAAATTTTAAATGTTCTTATATAATCATAATATATGGAACTATTAGTAAATATTGACGTTTCGACATGTTTTTATGGATATTCTGTAATGTTACTTATCATGCAATAATCAAACTAATGAATCGCACAAGTATCAATTAAGTAAAAATTGCAATTCTCATGTATTTTGGTTGATTATAATAAACGAGCATCGACATATTTTTAACTCAGAAGATTACTTTGGTGTAAAATTGTAGATCAACTATATATTTGGGGGTCGTCTAAAGCGGAGCAGAATCACGTGACTATAAGCCAATCAAATCATATAATTTTGAAGATCGCCGGCGAAGCAAAACATTCAATAAAAAAGAAAGTCCCCAAAAATACGTAAAACGGCAGTCTAAACCTACCTCGGGTAGGTTAATTAAAAATGTCAGGAAGGCAATTTTGCTTATATTTAAGCATCTAAAAATTCAACCTAACTCTAATATAAGAATGGCCCTAACCCTGATCTGATATTGTTATGGTTGAGACCAACACTTGCAGTCAGGGTAACTCTTAAGCTGCTACACCATTGTAAAGTTCATACAATCTCAGTACCTTCCTTTACAACCTCACCAGTACCTTGTATATTCTTGCAAGTCTTCCTATACTGCCAATCCTGTTAGCTCTATATGATGCAACTTCATACCTAGTTTAACCAATAATCAGGTTGGTGGATCTTTTTACTTAGAGTTCTTGCTCATACAGGTTACCTGTCTCAGTTTTCCATTTCCAGATCAAGATTTTTACAGGTGATACCATTGAAGATTATACTGCCTCTTTACTCAGAATTTTCAAACAAAGTTTCTTATAGAGTATAGACTTTCTGGATTTATTTGTATAACATTGCATATTTCTAAAATTAGTTTTGGTACAACTAGAATTATAGGGTTACAATTCCAGATATCTTATACAAGTTGTCAGAATAGGATCATTTTTCAAATTTCTACTGCCAGTGGGATTTGAACTCTGAATCTACTGCTTGGAAGATGACAATCCAACCATTAAACTAGAATCATATCCTCTAATTGATTGATAACTTATTCAAATAAGATAAATATTTCATAACAAAATAAAATGAAATTTATTTATATTCTAAATGAAATATATATGTCCTAATCCAAATATTAAAATAAATCAGTACATTATATTTATTCTTTATTAAATAGTTATTCTTATAATATATACTTCAAATTTAGTAGATGTAGTATTATGTAATTTTCTTACTTTAAATATATTATGCCTTTTATTTTTACTTTCTATTTGATGATTACAAATTTTCTTTGCAGAACTAGAACCATTACCCTTTTTATATTTATTATTTTTACTAATATCTTATTAATATTTATCTTATCATCAGATTTATCAAATTTTTTATTATGATTATCAATTACATTTTGATTTACTTACAATTTATTTCTAGTAAAACTAAACTTTGTTAATTTCAAATTATCAATTTGTAATAAATTCTAATGAGTTCATTTATCTT